AGGAGAGTACATCATCACGCGCCAGCTGACTGAAGTACCAGCTGAAACACACACAGGCACTCATTTTTGTGGAGACTTTTGTTTATTTGTAGGGAAAAAGGTACATCATCATTAGTTGAAACAAACAAAGTACCAAAGTCGGACATTGAAAGTTAGATTTTTGTCTATTGGAGGGGGGAAGTACAAAAAGATAGGATGGCTGATCAAAGTTACAGCTGAAACATGCAGACAGAGGCAGACATTGTAACTTGTTAGATCTTTGTCTGTTTGGGGGGGGGGGGGTACATCATCACCACCCTTGCACTTGCAACACAATTAGGTCATATTATTATGAATGCTGAAGATTAGAGGTGTTACAAGAGAGTAACACACAAACACTAAAAAAAAGAAAGAAGAGAAATAACTATGACAGATGTTTGACAGGAAAGAAGGAGCAAACCACACCAGAGCACCTGCCAACCACCAATCTGGCTGCTTTGACCCTGCCTGTCAGACCTGATTTTAAAAAAGCCAAAAAAAGTTTTAAAACCGCGCCGATAAATAAAAATGACCCACGAAACAACCCCTCCTTCTGAGGGATTTGAAGGTGCACCTTCTGCACGCCAGAGCGGAGAACCTAATCGTTACCCCGAGCCAGGTGCAACAGACACAACAGCTGACTAAAGCACTAGCTGTCGGAGACAGACAGACAAGACAGACAGCAAATTGCGCCCACCAACACACATGCCCATAAACAGCCGCATAAGAAACAAAATTCATATAAAAGTGACATGTGAACCATATGCATTCCCATTTGAACCATATCTTATCAAGACACAGCACAAGAAATCTTGTCTCCGGCATCAGAACGAATCTCTTCTCCTCCTCCTCCTCACCTGAGATACCAACAAGTTTGAACCCTATGCATTCCCATTTGGCTTACCCTTCCTGGAAATTCATATTTACATAGAAGTCTCGCCCTAGGTGCCTGTGAAGTTGGAACAAAAATGAAAAATGTCAAGAGTTGGGTAA